AATCAATCAATTTTTTAAAAAGCCACTGAAGAGAATGAACCAATGGCGGTAAGGTGGTAATGGGTCTCCAGAACAACGGAAGATTAACGGAGTTGACTCAAAGTACGAGGGAAGAGGTTAAAAATGGTCAAAGCCAAGGTTTCTTCTTTGACCTGCTTTACCATAATAAGCACACTGTGTAATGCTGGTTATAGGACCAAGATAACGGTATTGTCACTGGACCATTTTCAGTCTGGCAGCTGTGTCAGGTATTACCATATGGAACCAATCTCACCCCTGTGATTGGAGTTCTAGGTAGAATGAGTGTCATGGTAGGAAATAGAAGTCATTATGCTTATGACTTAGATATTTCTACAATAGAAATTTTAAAGTGCTAGAGAGATTTCTTTTGGTCATTAGCTTAGGCATAGAAAGAACTAATACAATGATTATGGATCTCTTTTCTAATTTATTTTCCTAATTTTTTAGTTTTAGAAATTAAAACTTTTTTTTTTAGAAACAGGAATGTTCTGCTTCCTCCCTATTTATACTTTTTCTGCCTATTTAGTTTATGTGTGTATTTAATTTTCAGTAATTGCTCAGACTCCTTCTTATTGTCTGGGAAATTTGTCCAGAGTTAATAGGAAGTATTGTTGTCTTCTGCAAAACACTAATGACAAAGCAATTTAAATAAGAAAATGAGAGTCATCCTCAGTGATGTGACCATGGATTGAGGTAACTGGAATAGATTTGATTCTCCATTTGAGCACATTTCAGGACAGAAGTTGTCTGTGAGACAGATATTGGAGGTTTATGGATATAATGAATAAATATCAAGTAGGGTCTGTGGTTAAACTTTTCCACCCTATTCCTGCTTTATGCAAGGATAAGTCGTCCAAGCTACAATTTTTCACTGTAAAATTGGTTTATTAGTATTAAAATAGCATATAAAGCCTTCGCTTTATGTTTGTCATTTTTTTCCTCCAGTTTTTGTGAACTGTCTTTTGCTTTTTTCTCTCTATTTATGTGTCAGCCCCAGTTTCTCCTTTCTTTGTTCTCTTTGTTGTTGACGCTCAGCTTCCTTGGCCATACACACTTACATGTACAGTTTTATTACATTGGGATACAATTTAATAAGTATTCTATGAACAGTTTTGCTAAATACTGGTTGATAATGATGTGATATTGACTGGTCTTACTAATTTACTTGGTCTTTACTTATAAAGTACAAAGATACAAGACAGTTTAAGCAGTACCGAAGTGGTATACCTTCAGTGTATTTTCAGCGAGAATTTGCAGTTTTACTCAAGTAATTTGCATTGTCTTGTCTCTTTTAGGAGGAGAGCATTCCCATTGCTTTATCTGGTAGGGATATTTTAGCTAGAGCAAAAAATGGAACAGGCAAGAGTGGTGCCTACCTCATTCCCTTACTTGAACGGCTAGACCTGAAGAAGGACAATATACAAGGTTAGTTGTTTGTTTAAACTAAAAATGGGAGTTTAAACCTTGGAGCTATGTAGAAGATAATTTTTTTGTTGTTAGAATTGATATAATCTAGAATTACTGTTTACCCTCTTTTCACAGCTCTTTAAAGAGACTTGCAATTTTTCAAAATATTTTTATAAAATATTTTGACAACAGTTTGTGTTCTTTTAAAATGTTTTTTATTGATTTCAGAGAGAGGAAGGGAGAGAGAGAAACATCAATGATGAAAAGTTATTGATCGGCTGCCTCCTACATGCCCCCTCCTGGGTATCGAGCCTGGAACCCAGGCATGTGCCCTGACAGGGAATCGAACCCTAGCCTCCTGGTTCATGGGTCCACAGTCAGCCATTGAACCATGCTGGCTGGGCTATTTTGACAACAGTTTTGACAACATTCCAGTGAGAGAGGCAAAGTTATTGCTTTATAGATAGGAGCACTAAGATCATGAGAAGTTAAATTGTCTGATGTTACTACTTAAAAACTATGGAACTGTGATTTCACTTATATGTGGAATCTGATGAACAAAATAAAATGGAAAAAAACCTGGAACTTTATTGTTTCTGTGGCAACTGTGTGCCTGCAAGTTTCTTGTAGAAACATGAACCTTTTTTCTTTAAAGCCACGTGGTTTGGGATTTTAAGAGCTTAGGCAGCAGGGAAGAACTGTTTTCATACTTGTACCCAGAGTAAGCTGATTAAGTTTTCACTTCTAAGGCGTTGTCTTAAATTTTCAGCTTTCGTGACCTATAATTGTCATTTCTCCCAGCTTCACTTTACCTGCTTTATGTGATATAAATGAACCTGAGGTAGGAGTTTCCTATTTGGGTGTTTAGACTAGTGAGTCCCTTACTGAAAAATTAATAAACTTTGAGCAGGTTGCCAACTCATAGAAACCTTTAAAGGTTTGTAACCAAGAATAGAACAAGACTTACATAGCAACATTGTTGAGGAAAAGTTTGTATCTGGAACACTATAATATATATATATTTTTTAAGGAGAGTTACTCATTTGACTTCAGAATTGGTTAGGCCTATGATAATTTAACTTTTTAATATACCTGAGTATATAGATTGTAAGGGGTGGCAGTATTTCTGTAGCTTCTTAAACTCTTAAAATATGTTCTTTTTTTCTATTTTCTCTGTTGCTTGATATTTTTTAGCAATGGTGATTGTTCCTACAAGAGAACTTGCTCTACAGGTCAGTCAAATTTGCATCCAGGTCAGCAAACACATGGGAGGGGCCAAAGTGATGGCAACCACAGGAGGAACCAATTTACGGGATGACATTATGAGGCTTGATGATACAGGTAGGAAATAACTGATATAAGGTGGCCTAGCTCTCTTAAGTGTAATTTCATGTACAGGTGTTTCCTTTCAATAACTTATTAAAAAATTGTTTTAAGAATAAGGGCCCTGGTTGGGTGGTTCGATTGGGTGGTTCAGTTGGTTGGAGTGTCGTCCAGTGCACCAGAGAGTTTCGGGTTTGATTCCTGGTCAAGGCACACACCTAGGTTGTGGGTTTGATCCCTAGGTACGGGAAATCAATTGATGTTTCTCTCTCTTCCCCCCCTTCCTCCTTTCCCCTCCCTGTCTCAAAATCAAAAAAAAAGGAACAGAAACATTGTAGTAGAAAAATGAATAAAGGAAATGACAGTCTTATCCAAGAAAAAAGACAAATTGACAGTAATTGAAGCGGTATTCAACCTTATTTTTAAAATGTAAATAAAAACAGCAAATTGGTATTGTGCCTTTCTGATTGGCAAGACCAAAAACATTGGTAACCAATAATGTGAGTTTGTGACAAAATAGCCTGTTTTGCAACATAGTGGGCAAGATGGCATATTTCAAAGTTATAAATGTATATTTTCAAGAATCTTTCTTGAAGAAAAAATTGGGCAAATGCAAGGTTGTTCACTACAGTACATCTTTGAAAAATTGGGACAACCTAAACATCAGAGGATAGCCTGAATGGAATTCCACACAGCCATTAAAGAATGAAGCTGATCTGTATTCATTTTATGAAGAGTTCTCCATGATACATTATTGTGTGAAAAAAACAGATGAAACACCAAGAGTGAGATCCACTTATATATAGAATTATACATAGGATATTAGTCAGAATTTCATATAATTGTCATCAGATTAATTACTGTATTCTTCATACTGCAGTTATTTAAAATGATTATCTCATTTGATCCTTATAACCATCTTCTTAGGACCATTGCTCTAGTTGAGAGCCTGGTGTGCCTTTTGTTGTTCATTAGGGATTGTCCTAAGACAAGGAAATACGCCCCTTATTTGGAGCAGGTGATTTGGGAACCTTTAGCCCACCACATGTAGAGGTGAAACAAACAAGTATTCTCTTAGCCAACCTAAGATGAAATGGAAATCCATATCCTAAAACACATCTTTACCTCTTTGTCCTGCAGTAGTCCCCCCTTACCTGGGAGAGAGATGTTCTAAGACCCCCACTCCCCCAGTGAATGCCTGAAACAGGATAGTACTAAACCCTATATTGTACTATGTTTTTTTCACACACACATGCCCCTATGATAAAAAGGTTAATTTATAAATTGGTCACGGTATGAGATTAACAATAGTAACTAATAATAAAATGGAACAATTACAGCAGTATACTGTAATAAAAGTTAAGAGGATTTGACCCCTCTCTGTTCATATCTGTCACGCACAAATGTAAGCACTTTATGCACTGTGGCCGTAACTTTGACAGTTTGAGGTGCAACAGCAAAACTAGCACAAGCTGCTTTTTCTTCACAATTTCATGGATAGAAGGCTGATTCTTGTTATACATCTTAGCAAACTGAACATAGTTTTTTTTGTTATGTTGAGAACTTTCACCTTTTCACTTAAAGGAAGCATGTTCCAGCTTCTCTTTGGCACACCCAAATTGCTAGCATCACCTCTCTTGTGCTGGCCATTTAATTAAGTAAAATAAGTGTTGTTTGAACACAAGCACTGAGGTACAACAGTCTGACAACCTAGATGGCTCCTAAGTGACTTAGCAGGTGGTTAGCAGATACACCAGACAGGGATGATTTACGTCCTGGCAGGACTGAGCGAGAAGGTGAGTTTTTATCACTACTCAGAATGGCTCGAAACTTGAAGCTTATGAATTGTTTATTTCTGGAATCTTCCATTTAATATTTTTAGACTGCATTTGACCATGGGAAGTGAAACTGGGGATAGGGAGGGACTATTGAATTCCTACCTCTACAACAATGTTTCTGATTAAAAAAATGTATATACATTTTAAAGGTTTATATATGTATACAAACCTTTACTGCATCCTTTTTGCCAAGCTAAAATTAATGAGAGCCCTGGCCGGTTTGGTTCAGTGGTTAGAGCATTGGCCTGTGGACTGAAGGGTCCTGGGTTCAAGGGCACGTACCTCAGTTGCGCACTAGATCCCCAGCCCCAAATAATAGAATTAATGAGAATTCATGTTTTCTAATCTTGTGTAGTGCACGTGGTAATAGCTACTCCTGGGAGAATCCTGGATCTTATCAAGAAAGGAGTAGCAAAGGTTGATCATGTCCAGATGATAGTATTGGATGAGGTAATGTCTCTTCATTTGGAAAGATGCTATTCTGTATTATTCTGAGCTTTGTTTATAAAACTGTTGGCGAATGAAGCAAAGGTTCTTTGTGTTTTATGACCTCCTACTAAACACATGACTTTTGTCAGTTCAGACTAATTTGCTTATAGATGATAGGCATTTATAGGAATAGTTCAGTCTTGTGCCTTTTTAGGATGCCAGATAGTTTGGGTTTTATTTTTCCAAGATGAGAGGTTGTTGAATAACCTTAAACCAAGGTCATTCTAAGTCTCTCTCCATTCAGTGATACATCTTAAAAGGCATGTAATGTCTCTAACCCCTCATTTAGTATATAATACTTTGTATTTGTTTTTTTGGTCTGTGTTACATGTGTTATCTCACCAGGAAGTAAGTGCCTTTTAAGAATTTAACTCTGTGTCCTTGGGCTCTGGTAGCGTTTATACATACAGTATGTTAATATATTGAAATAAAGTTACTTTTCTAGTTGGTCTGCCTTTTAGATAGCTACATCAGGTTGATCATGGTCTAATTCAGATGAGGCTTTCTTGGGTGTTTTTTTGTGGTTTTTTTTTTTGAGTAATGAGAGAGAACATTTATTCACTGTGTGCTAACACTAAGTGCTTTACATGTTTTTCTTAAGTTTAATTTTTGCAACAACCTTGTAAGATAAGTATCCTGTAGAGTAGTTACTACAGTGAGTACAAACACCCTAATTTAAAAGTTGTGGAATGTGAAGTGTTGATTGGTAAAGCAACCTTCCAACATAGTAAATAAATGAAGGAAACAAGGTTTCAATCCAGGTAATTGGACTCTGCAGCCTGTACTTTTAAGCAGTATAGCATACTGCCTCTTTAATGGAAATCACATTAAAATTCTGTTATGGATGTACAAGGATTCTATCTGTCTGGGGTTCCCCCCTACCCCCTGAAGATGGGTATTACAGACCTCTCCCCCTTCTGAATCGCTGGACTTTAGTCTTGGTGCTGTTGGATTATGTGGTGTTGTAGAGAACTTGATGTTCACAACCAGGAACGTTCCCTGAGTGCTCTTGTTAGATGATGGCTTGTTAACCAAGGACCTTGACATTATTTGATTATTTTTAAAATGGTCTTCTCTTTGTACTGCAGGCAGATAAGTTGCTGTCACAGGATTTTGTGCAGATAATGGAGGATATTATTCTCACGCTACCTAAAAACAGACAGATTTTATTATATTCCGCTACTTTCCCTCTTAGTGTACAGAAGTTCATGGTGAGTATAAAACAGATGTACTTGGAAGCAGTGCCATCCTCTTGCCTGTGAACATACCTTTGTTTGTAATTTACATCTTATTTGTCAGTCTATACTTTGGGCTGATTATTTCACGTTTTGGCTGTTTGCCTTTTTTTTTTAGCTGATCATTTATGGTTTGTGCATAAATTAACTGAATTTTTTAAAAGCTATAATAGTAATTTGATTAAATTATTCATCGTTCACTTAGTTTTTGGTGTCAGGCTGACATAACCATTGATGCTAGATAACTTGATTACAGCATAATGCTGTACACAAAGTACAGAATAGTAACTTAGCTACGTATATGACTGTTGAGATCTCCCATTTTATTGTAATTTATTTCTTCCATAACAGATTATGTATATTTGTTTTGAAGAGAGCTGCATCCTTATCAAGAGTTTATCAGACAGATGTATAGGATATACTTTGAGTTTAACAGATACACTCTGCTTTCACTTAAGAATAAAACTTCTTTTTTCAGAATTCCCATTTGCAGAAACCCTATGAGATTAACCTGATGGAGGAACTAACTTTGAAGGGAGTAACCCAGTACTACGCATATGTAACTGAGCGCCAAAAAGTACACTGCCTCAACACGCTTTTCTCAAGGGTAAGTAAGAGGTTTCAGCTGCTGAAAGTTTTCCATTACTTAACCCAAGAAGACAGACAATATTTATTTAAATATGTTTTTATTGATTTCAGAGGAGAAAGGGGGAGAGAGAGAGGTAGGAACATCAATGATGAGAGAGAATCATTGATCGGCTGCCTCCTGAACACCCCCTACTGGGAATCGAGCCAGCAACCCAGGCATGTGCCCTGACCGGGAATTGAACCACGATCTCCTGGTTCATGAGTCCACGCTCAAACCACTGAGCCATGCCAGCTGGGCAAAAACAGGCAACTGTATCAGTTTCACTGTCACTTTAAATGTTAAAAAAATATCCTTAGCTTTTCCTAAAAGGCAGTTTCAGTTGAATAGGGTATAATTGACAAGTCACAGGCACTTTTAATTTAATTCTAAAATAGTCTGACCTTAATTACAGTTGATCCTCATTATTTGCACTAATTATAGTCAGTCCCCATTATTTACAGATTCTGTATTTGCAAATTCGCCTACTTGCCAAAATTTGTCACGACAAATCAGTACTTGCTCTCGAGGTCATTTGTGGACATGCAGGACACGGTGAAAAGTTTGAGTCACTGTGCATATTCCCGACTGAGGTCAAACACGGCAACACGGCCTTCTTGTTTCAGTCCTCATACCATATACCATTGTTCTTTTCATGGCCTACCTAATCCCCCCCTTTTTTTTTTTTTTTTGCATTTTTGTGCCCTTTTTTGTTCATCTCATTTTTTAAAGGGGCCCTTAAGCATAGTGCTAAAGTGCTGTCTAGTGCACCAAAGTACAAGAAGACTGCTTTGCAGAGAAAATGTGTATTAAACTTTGTACAGGCTTGAGTTATGGTGCTGTTGGCCATGAGTAAATAAGGTGTCTTTAAACAGTAACAAGGTTTTCTATTGATTCATTGATGAAACACTCATCACCAGCTCTGGCCGGTGTGGCTCAGTTGGAGCGTCCTCCCATGCACCAAAGGTGGCAGGTTTGATTCCAGGTCAGGGTATACACTCAGGTTCCAGGCTTGATCTCCGGTCAGGGCACATGAGGGAGGCAGCTGATGGATGTTTCTCTCCCCTTTCCTCTCTCTAAAATCAATTTTTAAAAAAAACAAAAAACTTATGACCAGAGGCTCACGGGAACTACCCTGTGTTTCTTCTAGGAGCAGTGGTTCTGTATTCTCTAATTTAGTGTTTGTAGCAACTTGAAAGAATATAACTGCCACAAATGATGAGAATTGGCTGTATTTTACTCTTGTTGGCAATCGTGTGCCCTTATGAAATATACTCTACTACAATTAAAATTGTTATCTACAGATAATAAGTAAATGAATAGTATTTATAATTTGGAGAGTTTTGCATCTTTTGAATCATAAGACTAAGTCATAGATTATGGTTTTAACATTTATTTGCCAGTCAATATTTTCAAGATGTGCAAAGTAAATGTGTGTTTTTTCAAAACCCTTATGTCTTTTTTCCCTGTGTTCAGCTTCAGATAAACCAGTCGATCATTTTCTGTAACTCCTCTCAGCGAGTTGAATTGCTAGCCAAGAAGATTTCTCAACTGGGTTATTCTTGCTTCTATATCCATGCTAAAATGAGGCAGGTGAGTATAAAACTAGAATGTGCACAGATTTTTAAAATACGTTTTTCTAAGAATCTCTTGGGTTTTGTTTTAATGCTCCTCCAAATTTTGAGTTTAAGAATAAATTATTCGCCCAGTTGGCGTGGTCCAGCGGTTGAGCATTGACCTATGATCCAGGAGATGGTTCGATTCCTGGTGAGGGCGCATGCCCAGCTTTTGGGCTTGATCCCCAGTAGGGGCGGGTAGGCATCAGCCGATCAATGACTCTCATCGTTGATGTTTCTCCCCCTTACTCTCTCTGAAATCAATAAAGACATGTTAAAAAGAAATGAAAAAATCAATTATTCTTTAGTAGGTGAAGGACCCTACATTTTTAACCTCTTGGAGGCTCAGTTTTTTAACTATGAAATAGGGGTAATAATCTCACAAGGAAGATTGAAATGATGTACTGATGTTTGTCAGTTGTCAAGCGTAATAACAGATGTGAGACTTTATTACTTTCTTTCCCTAGGTTTAAGTGCCTCATAACATGTCACAAGCAACTACAGTTTTCGACAGTACAGCTACAGTACATTTCCATTATTGCAAAAGGTTCTCTTGGACAACACGACTCTATTTTTTAATCTTTCTGTGTACCACCTCAGCTCAGATATTTTTCCCATTACTATTTGCCTTAAGAAAAGGATGGGATTCTAAATTTCTGAACTTGATTTAGCAGAGAATAAATTCAAAACTAAGGACATTTTGTGTGTGTACTAACTATAACTGAAATTGCAAGAAAAGAAAGCAGTTTCTATAGACTTGTCAAGGTTAAGAACTTAGTCAACTCACATTTGGTTTTCAAAGAAGCTTAATGTCATGGATCAGATACCACCATGTAGGCACCTAGTAATTAGAAATTATCACAGGAAATGAATGTATTAAGCTGAGGAGAATATTTAAAATGGAAGACTGTTGTGCTGAAAAGATGAGCCAATGCCTGGCTGGATGGCTCAGTGGTTGATCATCACAGTTCGATTCCTGGTCAGAGGCTTAATCCTAGTGGGGGGCGTGCAGGAGGCAAGGATCAGTGATTCTCTTTCATCATTGATGTTTCTGTCTGTCTCTCCCTCTCCCTCTCTCTGAAATCAGTAAAAACACACTAAAAAAAGAAGAAAGAAAAGATAAGCCAGTTTACCAGATGCTAGATTTATCACTTTTCCTAGTCATTGTATATGTTTTTGTTTTGTTTTTTTTAATTGGAAAGTAGCTAGTTTTAGTTTTTGTATATAATTACTAAAAAGGTAAAGAGATGATGTTTTGGTCAAGCCAAGCTTTTGGCATCATCTGTTTGAAACATTTTTAAAGTGTATATATACAAAAACATGGTGAAAATTGTCACTTAAAATCCACCCCAGCAGAAACTATAAATACCTTTGTGTTAAAATAAATGCTACATATAGATATCTATTAGTTGCTTATTTATTCCCATGGGAAACCAGTTTGTGGTGGTTTTTTAACCTTTTTAATATATGTATATTGTGAATTGGCTCATCTCTCATTTGTGTAAACAAATTTTGTATAGGAGAAATAGTGGGAAATTTTGGGCTATGTGTATGAGTTTTAATCATTTGATTAATGCATTGCTTTGTGCCTAGGAACATCGAAATCGTGTCTTTCATGATTTCCGAAATGGCTTATGCCGCAATCTTGTTTGCACTGGTAAGTATTTTCTATTTCTTTTACCCATTGCTTTTTCCCTAGTTCTGCTCTGCTTTTCTTCCATATTACTTAATAGGAGCCTGTGACATAGCCTAGCTCACCCTAGTACCACTTCTAGAAGTTCTGAAGTTGAGAATGAGCTGTAGTTAACTCCTGAAATTAGGTTCCATATCTGAAACTGCAGAAGACTTTTTCTGGCGCTCATGCCTTACCTACCTTTTCAACCAATTTTGGAATTTTTGTGTTTTCTGAATAGTTTTAGCATACAGGAGTGAATTACATATAGCATACACAAAGTGAATCCTATTATGAAGCCATCTATGTTTTAGAAGTTGTTTATTGTAGCTTTAAAAATTTTTTTTTGCCAGTAGCGGACTAGTCAGAATTTTGTTGTATTTTCAGTACATGAAGAAAAACGCCAGGGAGGGAGGTGGACAATCAGATTAGACAAAGCAAATGGATTCGGTATCCTCCCATCTTTTACTAGGAATATAATTTTATATTGGTATAAGATTAATAATCTGGGTAGAGAGAACCTAGAATTTTTAAAAATCATTGAGGTATACACAAAGTTAAACCGTAAGTATATTATTTGAATTTTTACACGTGTATTCATATCAAGATTTAAAGTATTTCAAGGTTTGTGTTTTTAAAAATGATGCTGTAGAAAATGAACTTCAAAATTTTCTAGCAGAATATTAAATTTATTAATTTACAAGAGTTTAAAAAAGTAGTCTATCAAATGTCTTTGATATCTGATAGACAAGAGCCTATCAAATATCTTGCATACCTACCTTCCCATTTATCTTGTTTCTCTGCCTTACACTTGAAGGAAAGTTAATATAGCTGTGAATTAATACATTTATGTTCACATTTATAAACATTTTTACCTTTAAATATATTGAAGTATTCAAAATAGAAAATATTTGGTTAAGTGGAAGGAATACTAGACTCCTAGAATTTTAAGACTACGGCCCAAGTCCTACCTTTGTTTTAGCCCTAACCATAAGACCTTAGGCAACTACCTCTTTCTTTTATGGCATTTTTAAATCTGCAAATGGGGATGCTTTAACTGAATTCTGGACAAGTATTTGTTGTAGTTTATTCAAAAAATATTTATTGAGCCCAGCCAGGCGTGGCTCAGCGGTTGAGCATTGACCTAGGATCCAGGAGATCAGGGTTTGATTCCCGGTCAGGGCACATGCCTGGGTTGCGGGCTGCATCCGATCAATGACTCTCTCATCATTGAGGTTTCTATCTATCTCTCTTCCTTTCTCTCTCTGAAATAAAGATATATTTAAATATATATATACATATATATGTGTGTATATATATTGATATTCAACAAATGTTTACTCTTTGCTAAATACTTGGCTAGGTGCTGCGAAAATGTTTGCTCCCCAATTTTATGTAACATGTATTTTACCACATTAAAAATTTTTAAAGTGTATACATGCTTCCTATATTTGGGGAGCCTATAATCTAGATGAGGAAATTATCAGTGAAATGTTTAGAATTGTTGAGCAAATTTGGAATGTATAGGCAAATGGAAGGTGTCATTTGCTATTAAGCATTTCCCTGTTTGAGAAATACATTTTTTCTTAATTTTATTTATTGATTTTAGAGGGGAGGTGGGGAGAGAAACATCAATTTGTTGTTCCAGTTATTTATGCATTCATTGGTTGCTGCTTGTATGTGTCCTGACCGAGGATCAAACCCGCAACCCTGGTGTTTCGGGATGATGCTCTAACCAGCTGAGCTACCTCGCCAGGGGGAGAAATATTTTTTTCCAAAAAAATGTTGTTTGTACTTATACACTGATACGAATTATTGTGGTTAATGGGTTTTATTTTTAATCATTACTTGCAAGGTTGCCCTCAGGTTTTTAAAGGGTCAGTGCTTTCTTTCTGGTTTTTCAGAACAATAATATATCATTAAATAAGTACTGAGTACCAAGTATAAAATGTATAAACAAAATACATGCAAAGTACCACCCCTTCAAGGAGAAGTGGTTTAATCAGTGATAAAAAGGTAAACATTTCTAGCCTGCTTGGCTCAGTGGTTAGAGCATCAGGCCTCAGACAAAGGTTTTTGGTTCAGTTCTAGCCAAAGGGCATGTACCTTCGTTGCAGGCTCGATCCCCAGCCCTGGTTGGAGTGAGTGAAGGAGGCAACCAGTTGATGTGTCTCTCTCACATTGATGTTTCTCTGTCCCTTCCACTCTCTCTGAAAATCAATGGAAAAAACATCCTCAGGTGAGGATTTTTTCCAAAAAAAGGTGAAAACAACATTAAGAGTCTAAGACAGGACCTGCACACTTTTTCTGTAAAGTGACGGATAGTAAGTATTTTAGACTTTGCACACCATGTTGTCTTGTTATGAGTTATTCAGCTCTGCCATTGTAACTCAGAAGTACCCTTAGATGGTATATAAACAAATGGGCATAGCCATGTGGCTGTAAAACTTTAGTTATAGCCCTGGCCAGTGTTGCTTAGTGGTTGGAACGTTGGCCCACCCACAGAATGGTCGAGAGATCAATTCCTGGTCGGGGGCACATGCCTGGGTTTTGGGTTTGATCCCTGGCCCTGGTTGGGGGGCATGCAGGAGGCAGCCAATCGTCTCTCACATTGATGTTTCTCTCCCCCTCCCCCTCTTCCTCATCTAAAAAAATCCAGTGAAACAATATCCTCTGGTGAGGATTAACAAAAAACCCCAAAACACCGAACTTTATTTACAAAGACAGGCCTTGGTCTGGATCTATAGGGAGTAAAGGCAATTTGCAAATGAGAGGAATGTACACCGGTGATCCTTGAACAACATGGATTTGAACTGCAAGGAAAATTTTTTATTGTAAGAACACAGTATATAAAACATACAAAGTATGTGTTAATCGACTATGTTATTGGTAAACCTTCCAGTCAATAGTAAGCTACATTAATAGTTAAATTTTGGGGGGTCAAGTTATACGCAGATTTTTGGTAGGCCTCCCCCACGCTGTTCGAGTCAACTGTAGTAAGCAAGCCTAAATTTTCATAGGACCGGAGTGTCTTGCTGAGGTTATCTGAGAATAGATGGAATTTTAACTGGCTTTATAAACTAGATAAGTTTAAGTTAGAGGACTGGTGTCAGAAGTGATCCATAGAGGTCTAAGACATATTCAAGGAAGGATAAGTGGATGAGTTTGGTAGAGAGGAAGGTTTGAGATGTGTTAGGAAAGTATGTTAAGACCAAAATATTAGAGTGGAGGGCCTTGAATGTCAATTTTAAATTTTATCTGGAGGCAGTTTAAAGCAATGAGGTATAAAGTCAAAGTAGTATTTTAGAAACACTATTCTGACCATCATGGATTATTTAGTTGTGTGGAGCTGATAGAAGCAGGGAAACCTAGTTATTAGCCTGGTGTTTGTATTTATAGTTTGCAGAGCCTAAGTTAGCTTAGTAATTGCGGGATTAGCTTACCTCAGACCTATTATAAATAATTCAGCAGAAAAACAGACTAAAGAAAATAAAATTCCTGAGACTCATTTATGAGTTTACCAGTATCCTGGTCTCTTCCTGTATTTGCAATTACTTTAGGCCATTTTCTAAAATTTTTTTATAGAACTGGGCAAAGACACCTTGTGAGCAGAAAGTTATTTATGATAACATGCGTGAAAGGTAATGCGAGCAATTTGAAAGTGCATTTGAATTACTAAGTGAAATGAATTAAATTTAGGTTTTACTAGAAATATCTGTTAAATAGTACTATGGTACAAAGACACATGTTTAAATGCTTAAAATTGTTTAAATGCTAAAACATTGAAAGTAATAACGGAGGTTTTTGTTGTTTTTAAGATTTGTTTACCCGAGGTATTGATATACAAGCTGTGAATGTGGTAATAAACTTCGACTTCCCAAAGCTGGCAGAGACCTATCTCCATCGTATTGGAAGATCAGGTAAGGGAAAAAAAGATGTTTGTGGAAGTTTTTTGGAGATGTTTAATCACTAAATTTTGTGGAGGATTTTTGTGTAAAGTAGAGTGTGGTAGCAATGAGAACAGTGAATTAAAACTAATATAGTTTGATATTTAAGACTTAATTTCTTGTTTTAGAACACTTAAGAAAAGTTAACTACCATATGCGTAACTTGAGATAAAATTCACAAAGGATAACCTCACTTTTCTCATTAGATGGTGCATTCTGCAACGACTGGTTAGTAAGTGCATTTTTGGCAACACCTGACATAAATAAACATCCATTTTGTCCTTTGGAAAAGGCAAATCGAGTACTACTTTGGGCTGTAAAACCTGAAGTAATGTGAATATAAGGAGACTAGAAAATGGGGCTTCATATTCCCAGAATGGCACTGAACAAAAACATTAATCCTGTATGGTTTTGAAGCTTATAAACATAAACATTCATATTCTCATAATTTAACTCCTTTTTTAATTAATTAAAAAATGTCTTTTGGTTTTTTTCTTGTTGTTAGGTCGCTTTGGTCATCTTGGCTTAGCTATCAACTTGATCACCTATGATGATCGCTTCAACCTGAAAAGTATTGAGGAGCAGCTGGGAACAGAAATTAAACCTATCCCAAGCAACATTGACAAGAGCCTATATGTGGCAGAATACCACAGTGAGCCTGTAGAAGATGACAAACCATAACAAGCATGTGCGTACCCTACCGAATAGCTAAGTGAGCATAATGTTTAAAGAAAGGAAAGAAATTGAGATCTTCTTTCGTGGGGTAAATTTGATGTCCCAGCATACATAATAGCAATATAGGTTAAACCACTTGTTGGCATAAATGACAGTAAAACAGACATCTCTTGGGTGAAGTTGTGGTCTGTCGCATTATAAAATCCGTAAATACTGTTGTTGTCTTTTTAAATGTCTTTATTGATTTCAGAGAGAGGAGGAAGGGGGAGATATAGAAACATCAGTGATGAGAGAGTCATTGACCGGGTGCCTCCTGCACTTACCCCACCGGGAATTGATCCCACAACCCGGGCATGTGCCCTGACCGGGAATTGTACCACAATCTCCTGGATCCTGGGTCAATGCTCAACCGCTGAGCCACGCTGGCCGGGCCTTAAATACTATTCTTGATTGTAGTCTTTCTAGTAATGGGATAATGTGAGCAGTATTAACACAGATTTAGATTTCAAAAATAATGAAAACATAGAGTCTTTTGCAGCAGTTTTGAATGTGAAAATATTTTGTTTATCATTCAGTCATATCTCTGTTGCAATTCACTCTTTTAGATAGGTACCTCAATAAGTCAGGTTAAGTTACCTATGATACCTTATTGCCAAATGTGTAACCATGTTATGAGGATCACTATCCCTTTTAAATGCCCACTCCGGTTTTCTCCACCACCCTCTCATTCGTCTTTGGGTGACTATTGGGCTCTGGTAGAAATGCTCAAAACAAGGTTCAACGTAAAGGAAAGGAGACTATTGTGGAGTTTTTTCCTAAGGAAAATCTGATTTAATTTGAAGGGTGATTTCCAAATTAGCAATGAACATTTTACTTGTTGTTTTTAGACTTTTCAAATTACTCTTCACTTTTTAAAAAATTTAAATGTCAAAATCCTCAAATGTAAAACTAGCCAGTGTTTGCTCTAGTATATTAGTAGGCTATTTATTAAGTTTGTGTGAGTTTAAAAAAAGTTGATTTGTGTTGTGAATGACTGCTGGCTTTTGCCAGAATTATCAGGTGCTTGTTCTGTTTTTAGAATGGCTGGCAGAAATTCCTTAATCCCGCGTGGATTCTGCAGTGGGCAGAAGAAGTTCAGTAGATGCTATACAGAGAGCCTTTGGGATGGCGCTTGTAGGAACCTACATAGCCTAGTTCATGTTGCTTTCACAAATGTTAATTTTAGGTTTCTTCTTTCTTTAGGCTTTGACAAACTAACGGCTTGTTTGGATCTGTGACACATCATTTTGGGGGGATGCTCTTCTCTTTGTGGGTTTTTCAACTTTTATTTTGGAACTATGAAGACTTAAAAGAACTCAGACATTTTTTTCTTTTAACTGGTGAAGAGAAAAAAGCTGAAAAGAAGGAATTTACCTTTTTTGTTCCACTTGTTTGCACTGTGTGCTGACTGAACATTAGTTGCACTAACTGCTGGTTTTTTAAAAATGTTTTCTGGGGAAGGGGGACAAGGAAGGAGGAGAGAAAAGAGAAGGGGAGAGACCCTAAAAGAGAAGAACCTTGATGAACACACGCCCGCCTGTGATTCCAGAATCCCCAGCAGCTGGCTCAAGTGCATGTCAACTTCTCCCTGGCTCCTCATCCATTTTTTAAGCCTGAAGAGCTTATTACTTATTTGTGCGAAGTGCCTTATGCTATGAGACCATTCAGAATATCATCTTTTAGACGCAGCCCAAGGAATCAACAATAGTAATTCTTTCCTATTTTCTTTTTAAAACTTTTTTTCATTTTGGTTTCATGTTGAAGTCTCTCTCTTCTCTTTCTACCCAATACTCAAGCCCAGGGCTGAAAGATGAAACGTATCACAGTAAAGTTAAACATCATTTTTTTTCTTTAAGTGGAGGAGTTGATATGCAACTGCAGTTCATCCGCACTGTAAATACATGTATTTAAAAAAACAAAACAAAACAATCCCAAGTAAAAATTTCTTCTGGGCCGAGTAGATGCAAGCAACATCATCGCTCGCAAAGGAAAGAGCAGTCTGTCATTGCAGGAGCCATATGACAAGCCTTTGTGCTCTACAGCAGAACACTAAAGACTGGTTTACATACGCCTCCTTAGCAGTTATGGCACTTGATGTGTAGACATGTCAGCCTTGACCCTCTTTCCTCTGTGGCAAAGCGTGTCCCATAGAAAATTGGGTGTGTATACTTGTATAAACTTTGTAAATACGTTTTTTTTCTGGGTTCATATATATATATATACATATATATATATATATATATATTATTTTTTTTTGGATGAAGGTTGCTGGGATTAAGGGGATTAGAGTGATTATGGGAGCAGCTAAAGATGAGAGGGGCTCAGTTTTCCGCAACACTAAATTCTAAGAAGTACTTGGACCTCTTACTGTAGAGAGCAGACTCCTGTGGGGACCCTATGTTGGAAAAGGGCCCCAGAAATCTTCACTGTTTGCTGCCACACTATCTCTAGTACCTTTAGAGGAGGCCTACCAGGGGGAGCAAGGAAACTTCAAAAACCTATAATTCATGGTGGTGTTTTTGAGAAGCTCTCTCTGATTTTGCTTCTTCCCCCTTTTTAAAAGTTTGAGAAACTTTTTAAGCTCTGCAAAAGGGGACAAAGATTCATCTGCCTTGCAGTGTGGGAATTCAGTTGAGTGGCAGTGTCTGAGCAGGATATGTATAAAGCTTGGATTTGCATTTCACGATGTTAGCCAGTACTGGCTTTGGTAAGGTTAGCAGTTCTGGAGCTTAATTTCTGTGGATTGCCTCCTGTACTGTGTAAGTGTGTTGCCCTCTGCTCACCTTGATACATAAACTTGCAGGAATGGGCAACCCCTGAGAGCTGTTAACTTTAATGCTGCAGCAAGCTGCTTGCCATCCTCTAGCTTTGTGACAAGAATTATCATTTTTGCATTGTAAATTGCTGGCAAATGCTTTACAGTCAATAGTGTTGCATTAAATTGTGCCCCTCCCAACATGCTTGATGTTTGGCCTGATCTCCAGGCAAAAGGAGTGAGATGAATCAAACCAGTGAACTTTTTTTAAACAATGTTTTTAATGCCCTTTTAACCCAGTATACTAGGTCAATCAGGAGGCATCTAGGGTTAAGAAGCAAAATAAATTCTTAAAATTTGGTTTCCACATTTCATTGTTTTTTGAAGTCCTAAAACAGTCCTGCCTAAGCTTCATGCTTAACTCATCTGGATAAAGAAATCAGTTACTCAAAGTTGCTTTTTTGACTCAGTCTAGTTCTAAACATATTTGTGACTCACCCAAAATTCCTTGAAGATCAAAATCCTGCAGATGCCTCCTGATCAGACATAGCCCTAACTCCTTAAAAACTGTAGCAAGAGCTGCACAGTACAAACCCAAAAAAGAATAAGCTCATTTATTTGGTGTCCAAGCCACATAGGTTCTTCTATCCAGCCAATGTTGGCAACTAAATACAAGCCCTAATTAAGGAGTAACTTTTTTTTCCAGGGAGGGATGGGGGGAGGGAATTTAAAAGGCATCAACTTTTGACCAAAAGAAAAAAAACTTGCCATGTACTGATGCAGCTCTTTTTCTCCCCCACCTCTGGCAAGATAAGAGGGATCATTATAGAAGAAAAGCAAGAAAGCTCATAAATATAGTTTTATATCTTGCTAGAGTGTGGGTAACTATAAACAGCACAGTCCTCTCTGCCATCCTCAGACTGTCTGCTTGGTGCCACATGCCTGTGGGTCCCTCTTAAAGCACAGACTTTAAATTGAAAGTATTACTGAAGTACAGCCTCTGATGAGGAGTGGCACTTAAACTGTCTGGGACACCAGTATTGGACACAGTCTTATTTAGGCGGCTGTCCAGTTTTGGTGCTTGACTAGAATAAGAATTGTAAAATGGAAAGATGCTCTAAGGGCTAGGTCAAAGCCTAGTCTCTTTCTTTTTAAATCCCCCTCACAACAAGAAACATTTGTTACTATTGGAAATTGTTTTCCTGTTTTTGCAGTATGGGGTGTTTATTTTAAGTAATGGTAATATTTTTCCAGCAGTTCATTTGGATGAAAACTATTCTCTGTTTTTAATACTTAAATAACATCCAGCCCATGGTTGATCCTGTGGTTGTATAGTTGTGTAATGGGTTATGGACTGTTACACACCTTGCTGCCTCTGGGCCTGTTTTGTCTTTCCCTCCCCATACACACTGATGGGGAAGCTTTCTTGCCTTTCCGTTAGGAATGGAATAGATTCCAAAATGATTTTCCATGGGAAGAAGTAAGGGAGAGGGAAACCTAAATATATGTCTCTAAATTTTCAAGTTTGCCCTGCATCATAATAAGGGTTGGCCCCAAAGGTGGGTGGGGGTGGGGGGACAACTGGTTATCAATATTTGTTTTCAGAATGAGATGGGAGCATCTTTCCTTTGCCATGTGCTTTGTGTTTGATACCATCACGCTTGGGTTAGAACCAGACAACTCAGCACAAAGCCTTGAGTGTAAATTGTTGGAATCAAAACATCTCATTCTGATCACTTGGTTTAATTTTTTTCTTTTTTCTTTTTTTTTAATAGGGGTGGGAGGGAGGTGACTGTGCCCCAAAAGGGAGGGTGTCTGCACTAAGGATTTAGAAACACTTTGCAAGCTCATAACCTCATCAGAAACTGCCTTTAGCCACACTCCTGACCTTATAGATGAGTAACAAAAACATGAAATAGATTCTTGGAAATTAAGCCATGTTATTTTAATTTGGAACTTTTTTCAGCATTCTATGTATCTTAAAAATTGTTATTGTGGAATCATTTTCTGGCAAAGTATCTTTGTCAAACAAAATTACTGGCCTCGTGGGAGCTGACGTCAGTCAACTTTTTGGTGAGCTTAAGTGGACTTTGGTGAGCTTATAGTTCTGTATATCCTTAAAGAGTTTTATTTAAACTCCCAAAGAAAATCCATTCTCCTGATCTAAAAACTCATCTTTGGGGTAAAGTTAAGGGTCCTGTAACAGTTCTTGAGGTCAGAGGGAGCTAGCCTGGCACCTGGACTCTGCCCCTCCACAGCTGACAGATTCCAGCAGGAAGTGTATTTAAATTCTCCAGTAGACAGTACTGGGCAGGGGATGGGGTAGGGTTGGGTTATTAAGATACAGACTACTGTATTTTAGCCAGTGGTTGTGGGGGAGGGGTGCCTGGAGAAAACAAAGTCACTGTTCCCTTTTTTGAAACAAAACTAAAACCTGAAGAAAAATTTTTGTTCAATAAAAATGGGGTATGATTTCATTGTCCCTAGCCACAAGGGACCGGCTCCACTGAGCAGTGAGCAGTGGGGACTCAAACCTTTGAGAACATTGGGGAAGGGAAATTGGCTTTCTGTTAATTGGCAGATGTTCCAGTGGGGCTTTGTTTTTGTCAGGATGTGTTAAGTTGTATGTGCACATATGGACCAGAGTCTCTGCTGAGTTTATAAAGTTCAGAAAAGATGGTTGATAAAATCTTGACTTAAGTTAATTTATCTCAATAAAAGCCCACTGGAACTCCAAGTGTGTGTGGCGTGTTCTTAAGCAGAAAGCTATGCCTGCTGAAGGGGTTCACACTGATTTGAAGCAGTGAGGCTGCACTACTGTGAGCCCAGCTGAATCAAGTCTGAGAGGGCCTCTGTCCAGCCTGGCTAGACATTGTCTGGCATTCACCTGTCCCTTGTCAGTTTTCATAGCCTAAACCCAATAGAGAATCATTTGGAAAGGAAAGGTGGCCCACTGTCATCACTTTGTAGAAGAAATTTTTAGATGTTTCAAAAATACAAACGTGCCCACAAAACTTTATTAGGAACAAATCTAACAATGAGTGGCACTTGTATTCTAAGAACACTGAGGAAAGAAAAGAGCTAAATGAGAAATTCATACACAAAGTTGAGCCATGACACCCCTGAAGTTCTTAGATATAACTAACAATACAGGGTAGGGCAAAAGTAGTTTTACAGTTGTGAGTACAGAGTACATGAACCTTGAAAGAGGGAGCAGGGAAAGACAATCCACTGCCTCCTGTATCCCCTTAATGGGGATTGAACCCCCAATCTGGGCATGTGCCCTGACCAGGAATCAACTGGCAACCTTTCAGTGCACGGAATGATGCCCAACCAACTGAGCCACACAGCTAGGGCACAAACAGTTTTATTTTTGTATTATATATAATTTGCCATATGAACAACCGCAAACCTACTTTTGTCCCACTCTGCAAGTCTGGTTACAGAAAGCACTGGGGATCTCTCTGCCTCAGGATCTGTTTCCGCTTCAGGCTCACTTGGGTTTCCCTCCAGCTCTAACTTTGTAAATAGGGCATATGTAAACACATTGTATGCGGGAAACGTATTTGTACGTTTTACATTGGTAGTTGACTGGTGGTAGAGCGCAAGATAAAAACTACCCGCAAACAATGTGTAAATAAGCTGCCCTCAGATTTCCTCCTTTTACAAGTGTGCCCTTTGTTTTGTGTTGGGACCCAGACAGTAATTGGGACCAGAAATGACCTCCGGAAACATTCTTTGACAGAGATTCTGGGATTGGGTTATATTTGATGAGATCAATGAAAGCCTTATGGGGGTTGGTGGAGGGGAGGCAGGGCATGGGGTGTGAGTAACCCATGGCATACAGTGTCATAATTCATATTTTTGCTGGTGGTACCATGGGGTGAACTGCAAGTAAAGGAAAAGCAAGGTGTGGGGGAATCCAGGGGCTGTGGCAGTTAGCAACAATAGGCCTTCAAATGCATGCATTAGAAAAAAATATGAACATGCAATTAACATACAAAGAGAAAGTGGCCTCTGGGAGTTTTGAAGAGGGGCCCTTATCTGTAGGTAGATTTGTCCTTAGCTAACTGACTACAGTGTCCCTAGAACTGAATAGATGGCAGCCTTCTAATGTTTTGATTTGTATGCACAGAAAGGCTCTAGTTCTCATGAACAGAATTCAGACGATCCAGTCTGTTGAACATCACTGAAGTTGTCAGGCTTGAGCCAGTTCACTGACACAGCCTCTTAAAGGGGAGCTGGGTCCCCCTTCTAGTATTCCTCAAAAGGACTTGTGACTGTTTGCTAGGTTCACTGTGTATTTGGAAAAGAAATACACTTTTTAAAAATAATTATTTTTCAATTACAGTTGACATACATTATTAGTTTCAGGGGTACACCCCAGTGATTGGACATTACATAGCTTACTAAGTGATCATCCCGATGAATCTAGCTTCCATCTGACACCATGCATAGTTATTACAATATTATTGATTCTGTTGCGTGTTGTACTTTACATCCTTGTGACTAATCGGTAACAACCAATTTGTACTTCTTAATCCCTTCACCTTTTCCACCCACTCCCTCAATTCCCCTCCCGTCTGGAAATCATCTAAATGCTCTTTGTATCTGTGTCTGTTTCTGTTCTGCTTGCTCATTTATTTTGGTTTTTTAGATTCAATTGTTGATATGTATTTATTACCATTTTCTTGTTGAGATATATATATTTTTTCCCTTAAAGAAGACCCTTTAACATTTCATATAATACTGGCTTGATGGTGATGAACTCTTTTAGCTTTTTCTTGCTGAGAAGCTCTATATGACCCTCGATCCTAAATGATAGCCTTGCTGGGTAGAGTAATCTTGGTTGTAGGTTCTTGCTTTTCATCACTTTGAACATTTCTTGCCAATCCCTTCTGGCCTGAAAAGTTTCTGCTGAGAAATCAGCTGATAGTCATGGGAGTTCTCCTTTGGGTAACTAATTGCTTTTCTCTTGCTGCTTAAGATTATCTTTGTCTTTAACTTTTGGCATTTTAATTATGTTGTGTCTTGGTGAGGGCCTTTGTGGGTTCATTTTGTTTGGGACACTGCACTTCCTGGACTTGTATGTCTTATTTCCTTCACCAGGTTAGGGAAGTTTTCTATAATTATATTTTCACACTGGGTTTTGATTCCTTGCTCCCTCTCTTCTCCTTCTAGCAACCCCATAATGTGAATGTCCAGACACTTCAAGTTGTCCAGAGGCTCCTACACTGTCCTCATTTTTTTGGATTCTTTTTTCCTTTTGCTGTGCCAATTGGATGTTTTCTGCTTCCCTATTTCCAAGTCGCTGATTTGATCCTCTGCTTCATTACTCCGCTGTTGATTCCCTGTAATGTATTCTTCACTTCAGTTAGTGTATTATTCATTTCTGACTGGTTCTTTTTTATGTTTTCTAGTTTGGTTTTCATGTTTCCTTTCTCTTTGCTGAAGTTCTCACTAAGTTCATTTACCCTTCCTCTTATATAACCAGTGTTTTGAACTCTGCATCTGGTAGGTTGCTTGTCTCCATTTTGTTTAGTTCTTTTTTCCTGAAGTTTTATTCTTTCATTTGACAGCCTCCCTGTGTTTGTTTATATGTAATAAATAGAGCTGTTACATTTCCTGGCCTTGGTAGAGTGGCCTCATGTAGCAGGGGTTCTGTAGGGTCCAGTGGCACAGCCTCCCTCATCACCCAAGTGGGCACTTGAGATTCACTTCCCCCAGGTGGGCTGTGTACACCCTCCTATTGTAGTTGAGCCTTGATAGCTTTTGGCACATCAATGTTCAATGTGGTTTGAAGCTGTCCACGAGGTGCACTGGCTTTGGGACCTACTGGAAGGTACAGGCCAAGGTCAGCCACTGCCTGTGTTCTGCCAGGGCCACCCTAGGTGAGCTACAAAGGGATATGCAGATGGCTGCTACTTTTGCTGGGCTTGGAGGTACTCAGGTGAGGCCAAGCTGCAAACCAAGGCTGCTACTGCCAGTGCTGGGCCTGGGACCTTTTAGTGAGAGGTATGGGGCTAGATGCTGCTTGTTTGAGAGATTTTAGGAAAATCTGAAGCATGAGCCAAGACAGGCTCTGTGAGGGGAGGGATCAGAAGAGAAATAATGGACTCTACCAATACTTCTGTCTGGTAGAAGGCTGACCTCCTCCCCCACCAGTACTCACCCTGATGCTGGACAATTCAGTTCCTCCCTGTATTTCCCTGGTGCCTTTCAAGCTGCTGCCCCCAGCTGGAGCTCAGAGGGAGTGAGTCCGAGTAAGTCCATGCACCTGCCTTTTGTGAGAACTACTGGGACTCCAGCAGCCTCTGCTTCACTCAGCCAAAATCCCCACTTGGTTTTACCGCCAGAAGCTATGGGAACTTCTCTCCCTGACACTGGAACCCTGGGTTGGGGGGGGGGTCTGGTGTGGGCCTGGGACCTCTTGCTCCTCAGGTGGGCCCTCTGCAACTGAGATACCCCTCCCGATTTTTTGCAGATATGTGGGTGTGGGACTAGTCTGTTCCTTGTCTCCATCCCTCCTACCAGTCTCAATGTGGCTTCTTTAATTCCCTAGTTGTAGGACTTCTGTTAGCTAGATTTGAGACAGTTCTGAATGATGGTTGTTCTGCAATTTAGTTGTAATTTTGATGTGGTTGTGGGAGGACGTGAGTACTTTATCTGCGCTGCCATCTTGACCATTACTTCAAGTGGTAATTCACTTTCGAGAACTACTGAAGCTCAAAATGCTACAGGTCACAGTAAAGGCATGTGGGGGTCAAGTGATCCATGGAGTTCTAAAAACATATATATGTATATGTGCATGTGTGTGTGTGTATTTTTTTTTATTCCCTCCTCCCACTCCCTTACCCTTTGACAACCATCAGCTTGTTCTCTATATCTGTGGGTCTGTTTCTGTTTTGTTTATTCATTTTGGGTGGGTTTTTTCTTTAGGTTCCAAATATAACTGAGATCATATGGTATTTGCCTTTGTCTAGCTTGCTTTACTTAGCATAATACCCTTTAGGTCCATCCATTTTGTTGCAAATGGGAAGATTTCATTCTTATTTCCATTGTGTGTGTTTTGTACACACGCACCTCTTTATCCATTCATCTATCCGTGGTCATCTAGGTTGCTTTCATGTCTTGGCTATTTGTAATGATGCCACAGTGAATATAGGGGTGCATATATCTTTTTCAACTAGTGTTTTGGATTTCTTCAGATACATACCCTGAAGTGGAATTGCTAGATCATATGGCAGCTCTATTTTTAATTTTTTGAGGCATCTCCATCCTGTTTCTCATAGTGTTTGTACAAATTTACAATCCCACCAACAATGCACGAGGGTTCCCTTTTCTCCACATCCTTGTCAGCACTTGGTATTTGTTGATTTATTGATTACAGCCACCCTGATTGGTGTGAGGTGACCTATTATTGTGGTTTTAATTTACATTTCCTTGATGATTAGTGATGTTGAGTACCTTCTCATATGCCTGTTTGCAATCTGTATGTCATCTTTGGAAAAATGTGTGTTCAGGTTGTCTGCCCATATATTTTTTTAAAACATTCATTTCCCGTTTATTGATTTTTTTTTGGTTTTCTATAGAGGAAGAGAGAGAGAGAGAGAGGGAGAGAAACATCGATGTGAGAGAGAAACATTGATCAGTTGCCTCCCACATGCACCCTGCCCGGGGATTGAATCTACAACTTGGGTATGTGTCCTGCCTAGGAATTGAATCCACCACCTTTTG